AAATTTTTTCAACATTATTTATACAGTCTTTTTCCACTAAAATATAATGAGTTAATTAAATACAAATATTTTCTTCTTTGAACCAAGCAATAAAATTATTTGAAAAGTTAAGCAACCGTACTTATTGATTGAAAAATTAGTTTCTTTGGGCCATTCAGATAATAAAATTTGTTTAAATGCAATAAAGTTTATTTATTAAATCCAAAAGAATGTTTTTCTTTGTGTAAAAAATAAATTTCCGATTTCTCTCTCTCTTTCTTTCTCTATATTTTTTTTAAGAGAAAAAAGAGAGAGACTAAATAAAGATACAAAATGAAAGTATGGTCTAATTTCTTGGCACTGTTGATAGTATAAATTGACAACTTTGTGCACTTGAAATCTTCCGCATGATGAAAAATTTAATATCTCCATTACACGAGAGATTCGTCATACAGAATTTTAATTGGCCTTACATATACATATACCGCGCGTAATCTATTGCCACAGGCCGAAATGTCATGCGAAAAATCTTAAGGTTCTCTTGAGAGAACCTTAAGATTTCGCGGAAAGACGAAATTAGGCTGTTGGCGGAATCTGCTTCTCTTAATCAACGACGAGCGAGAGATCGGGCGAGTTGGCGCGCACCTGCTCTCTCAGCAGCTTCCCTCGAATCCGGGAAACGGCGATCGATGTAAAACCGTCGTGTAATATCGAATACGACGAAAACTTGGGCGAGTCTTGGGTACGATGGGCGGATTAAAGTTCGAAATCCGGCGGCTCGGAGAAATAATATGCGGACGCGCAGTAGAGATACGAGTAGAGGCAGGAAATGAGAGCAACCGGCGAGAGAGAGAGTCGAAATTAAATTAAACTTTCGCCGCGATAAATCTTACTCGTTGAGGTGATATCTTCGCGAGATATTACGCGGAGATGCGATCGATCCTTCGTTCTTTCACCACGCCGGCGGAAAATCGCGATCGTCGGACCGCGAGAGCGAGAGAGAGAGATGAAGAGAGGGTCTCTCGAAATTAATTTCTATTATTTCCTCGTTCTATCATTTTCCTTCACTTATTGCGTATCGCTAATTACAGATATCATATCTTCCTGATATATCATTTTTAATACTTCCGGTACTTGAAAGTTTTTCAAGAAATCGTACTTCACATGGAAAAGAGGAATTTGAGTCAGAATTTAAGATACATCAACTAGGCTATTTAGTAGGATATGAATGAACTATATTTTTGGTTAAGATAAACAAATAAATTTGGTTACAAGTGTTTGGTTGAAGTAATTAGACAAGTTTAGTTTCTTTAAACAACGTGAAAAAAATTATATTCGCGTTCCTTATTAGAAATTTTATCACTTTTTTAAACTGAAAGTTGTTTCTCAAGATGATTATTTTGTTTGGAATTTAATTGATTCGACGTTATATTGTATTTGAAGTAATCGTCTTTATACTGAAAAAGTTATTTTTGTATTTAGAAAAAAGTATTTGGGTACATTTGGTTGGTATTACTATGTTTGTGCTAAGTAGGATGTATTAGTGAGAAAGCAAGAAATAACAAGCGGCAGTTAAATTTTTTGGTTGCAATTACCAAACATTTGATTCATCGCATTTTAAACAAATTTTGACAATTTTTGTTTTGATAACAAAATTTTTTTTCAGTGAGATTCGAATCCGGGGTATTCGGACTTTGAGTCGTCTATGTATGTGCTACGCCACATTTCTCGACATATCTTTTATATATTGACCTATGATCTAACAGGCGTTGAACATCAGAATATGTGATTATAATAATCAGAAATTCTGCTTAGAAATTCTGTTTAATCAACAATCATTGATTAAACATGTCACATTCATCCAATCATACTTTACAGTCATAATAAACCGACACTTGGGTATTATAACTGAATCAACAGTAACCAAACTCTGATCGTTGTTAGGACTAAATGTTCTGGCTGATTGCCAAAATATTTCATTATAATAATTCCGAAATTCCGTTTAGTCCAACCAAATCTTGTTTTAGTCAAACATGGAAAAAACATTAAAGATATCACTTGCCTATATATAGTCTCCCTAACAGGAAAATTAGTGTTATTTTTTGCTTATATATACAAGATATAGTAACTATGTTACTCTAAAAGCGATGCACCAGCCTTCTTTATTGCTTATCCATATGAGTTTGAGCAGTACTTTTAGTGCTGTAAAGTGCAACCAAACTCTTTCTTTCTAACCATAGAATATATGAATGTAGCAACCATAGTAGTTTTCTCCGTGTATGTCACGTGAATCCAACCGTGGTTGTTTTCTTCCGTGCACGGCTGTGATATCAGTCTCGTGAATCTACTTCATTATCTCAATTAGAATGGGAGTAATTTTGCACAATTTTTATGTTGTCATCTCTTGTTTTCTATATAATTTAATATATTCCTTCCCCGCGCGTGTGTTTGTTTTCGGCGAGGCGTCGCGACATCCGCAATTTTAATTTTGCTGATGCATAAGTTATGCGTGTGCGGTTACGCATGAACGAATAAATAAACGTAAAAGTCGCACGAAGAAATAAATAAAATGTTGCTGTGCGTCGCGCACAGAGGTGAAAATGTAAAAGGTCTGGGGCTTCGGCCGGGAAGCTCGCGATTTCAAGTGCGGCAATTTATTTATTTGGCGAATAATAAAGTCGTGCGCGGAAATACATTTTGTTGCGCGGAAACTAATGAATTTAATTGCGCTGGGCGCGTTGCATCGGCAACCGAGGGCTACTTTTATTGTGACCGGTTATCACTATTCGATATATTGAAGCGGACGTGCCTTTTTTCAACCGCGGAAAAATTATTTCGGACGCGCGAAGATTTATCCGACCGCGGTGTAATTAATATTCTCGGCGAGGTATCGCCATGAATTTTCGAAATTCCATTGCGGCGTGTAACGCCGCGCGAATACTCTCTCTTTCTCTTTGCTTCCTCATCCTCCGTGTTTTTCTTCCCATATCTATAACATGTAAACGGGAAATCCTATCGAAAATCCTATTTATCGTATCGAATCCATCCATAACGGGCAATCAATTTTCGGACACGTGACATAAAAAGTTTCACGTTTATTGTGAAAATTCGGATAGAAATAACCTCCATGAAACGCGTCGAAATTCTCTCGCGCGTTCACGTACGAACAGAGCGGCGAATATATGTTCAATGCGTTCTTCCAGCGTTTTAAATTTTATTTCCATTATCACGGAATCGTTCCGCGCGAGAGTAAGACAATATTATTTTTCTGAATTTCGCTTTTTTTCGAATAAATGTACGTGGTCTATTTTCTTTTTCCTTCTTCCAACTAGCTTTGCAAGTGAAATTACAAGTGCAAGTTCACTGCTTTCATATTAGTCTACATTGGGAGAAAAAAATATCTAAAAAATAGTAGATATTTATTTGGTTTAAATAGTAATTTAAATATTTAATAGTTAAATATTTAAGTAATATAAATAATTGCAAAAGTTAAGATTTTATTAAAGTGTTAAGAAAATGTACATTTTCTTATTTAAAAAATATTTTACTATATTATTTTACAAGTATAAAAACTTCAATATATTAATACAATTAAAACTCTGTTATTGTTACCTACAGAATAAATATCTACTATTGCTGAGATATCCTTTTTCTCTATAATACTGAGTGGATACTAATTTATGTAAAATGTATAATTTACGTATTTATTTAAATAGAACAAATAATTGTTTTCGTGAAAAGTTAAGATTTTATTAAGGATTTTAAGAAAATGTACGTTTTCTTATTTAAAAAAAATATTTTATTATATTATGGTATAAGGAAAACTTTTTTGTTGCTATTCACTGAATAAATATCTACTATTTCTTAATATCTCTTCTCTCAGTGTGATACGTGCGTTAAAAAAATAATTCATTATATATGTTTTACGTAAAATTTAAGCAACAAAGAGAGGAAATAATATATTAAAATACCGCTCTTTCTCTTAATGTTTATTTTACTGTACATATTAACTATAAAGCAGTAGTGTAAATTAATAATGTATATATAAATTTAATAATTAAAATTTTCAAAATTAACATTTCAACGAAAATAATTGAAACAGGTCAACTGTGATCTTTCGTGTAAAATACAGCCCAATTACCGTTTTGTAAAAATGAAAATATTTCGATACGTTCGAGAGGCAATATAAAACCATTTGCCGCCATTCGTTAAAAAGTAATGCCAATTGCCGCGTCGTGTCTACGACGGTAGTCGTGTACATAAAAGAGGTCTCACGCGTCGCTTCTTTTTTTTTCTCAATTTTCTTCGCGCGCAAACTCATTTATCCGTCAACGGAGAGCACCGTTGCGTTACAATGGGCAGTTTGCAGGAAAAATATGAATTTGCGCGGCGCATTAAAACAAATAGAATTTTCCATGACGTGTGGTTTGCTGGTGACGTCGCACCGCTCTTAACTCGACCTACCGACCAAGAAAGATCATCTTAGTGGAAAAATTTATGATCACGCATTATTATTCGCGCGCTTTATTATTCGCGCGCTTTATTATTCGCGCTGATTGCACGGCAATCGGAATATCAGGAGAAGCGATCTTCATCGATTTCTGACGTCACGCATTATCCCGCGTATAGTCTCGCGCTAACGCTCAACGAGAAATTTTCATAGAATCCAGTTCGTTTTTAAATTTCAAACACGTGTATTTCATAAAAAGAAATTGATGAAGCAGTAAGCTTCTTCCTCCACTAATCCAAATAGCGAAGCTATCCTAAAAGACGGTAGTTTGCATTTTTTTGGCGCTACCTGTGCTTCACCAATTAAGTCTATGTATTAAGCGCACGTTTTAGACTTAATTAATTAAACTCGTTAACTGTTCGTATTATAAAATGGATTTTCGTCTTGCTTTGACCTCTACTATCTGTTATTTAAATATTTGGCGGTTGATGTGGGACACCAATATTTAAAGTCATGATAATCACGTTATCATGAAAGCTTATTTGACTGGAAATAAAGCAATGAGACTCACGTTCGAAATCGTCCGTCTGATTCCTCTTGTGGTGGCTGCGATGATGATGGCCGCCTGGGATGGGAAGCTGCTTCATGGCAAGCAGATCCTGATGGTCGGCATCGATCAGCGGATTCTCCAACTGCGACTCGATCACCTCTAAGCTGGTGGAGTTGTCGGGATGGGCGATGACCTTCACTGTAAACGGCCGGGCGTAACAAGTTTGGCAGAAAAGGCGCGATCTTTAGGTAGAGTCCAACATTCTCGCGAGAGGTCTTTAAGAGGTATCCACTATGCGATATCCTCGCGAAGAGGAGAGCGCAAAGAAGATCGGATCTAGCGCAAAGATCACAACGGCGGGATTGCGTATATCTAAAATTGCACTCGCGAGCGAGCGAGCGAGGCCACGCGTGGGAAATGTCGTTACAAAATTGCGAGAGAGCGTCCTCTACGGAAAGTTCGCGAAAATATTTATAGCCGGCGCGAGTTTAGCTGCTACGATGCGCAGCGTGACGCGAGGGCCATGAGAAATTAATGCGACGGAATTGAAAGCTTTTTTTCCCCCGGCAGCTGCAGTCGCATCGGAGTGCGAGAACGAGAAATGATTAATCGCGACTTTCTGACCCGTCTTAAGTGCACTCAGGCACGTTGAATGAGATTTCTTTTCCGTTGAATGAAGAAATAAGCAAAGAAGCGATTGCCGGGAAAGTCGCATCTCTCGCAGCGGCAGCAAATGCACTCGGCTTTTTTATTTGTAAGCGGTAAAGAAGTCAATTAGGCAATGAATGGTTTAGGAATCCCGTGAAGGATTTAACACAATCAAGTCTTAACCTCGACAGTAATACAATGATTGTCATGACAATAATGAATGAAAATTTACACAATTCCTGCTTTTACAAAAATAATATTAGTACATACTAATATTCCCGTCGGGCTAATTCTTCGGTTCTTCAGCTTTCATTAACCTTTAAAGATTAATGCTATTTGTTACACAGTGTCGCTAAATGAGTCATTTGCAAATCTCAATGAATAAAACTTCTTTTACTAGAGCGAAGAATTGTTTCTGAAATGTCTATAGAATAGATTTCTAATTGGCTAAACATTAAGAAAGAGCTTAGTCAAAACTAGTGCGACTTGCACTTTCGATATCTGCCTTCACCCTGTTGAAAATTCATTCAATTCACTTTCGCCATCAAAGCATTAGAAGTCGTCACAAAAGAAACATGATACAGACCATCTAAATTCATAGTTTACCTGTACGGAATGGTGAATAACACACGAATAATCAGTTCCTTCAGTCGCTAAATGAATGATCGGAAATAGATTACGCTGGGACATAGATGGGGGCAAATACTTTAGTCTTCATCTCTTACACCGATTAGATAAAAGTGAAATGGCATTAGAACATTCCTCAGTGACTCTCAGTAGAGAGAATCAATAGTGATTTAAAAGCAGCTTTCAGAGACGTCTTTCAATGCGACACGCGAAATTCAACAACTCTATCTTTATTAAGAGCGACAGCCGCGAAACACATCCTAAAAATGACTCAAGCTGCGAGTACAGCACGTCTATCACGTAAAAGTTGCCAAGTTCTCGGATTGGTTCGTGCTTGACTTGAGCACGAACGTCGAGATACCGCGCCCATCGCAGTGCCCGGCGTGTACGACCCGAGTAGGGTCCAGCAATCCTCCGAGAATCCTTGACGCGACCAGTCAGGTGATTCTTTTGCTGAGCACGCGCCGGTGGACCCGCTACGAACCTTGGCCAACGAACTCTTCGAAGGTCTCGCGGAGATCGAAGAGCCTGTCGACGGGCAGCGCGCCGATCTTGAACTCGTCGAGGTCGTCGAGATCGTCGTCGGCGCGGTCGAAGATCGCGCGGTGCTCGTAGGTGGGTCTGGGCGCGAACTTCCTCTGTGCCGGCAGCCGGGGTGCCTCGGCGTGGCCGGGCCCCAACGGCTCGTCCTGCACGGTAGGCGTGGGACGAGCGGCCGCCGGCGCGTACGAGCCCGCCGACGACGACGACAGCGTCGCGACGACGGACGGCGGTGCGGGTAGTGCGGGGTGCTGACGATGGTGCTGGTGCTGGTGCTGTTGGTGATGGTGGTGGTGGTGCCGATACTGGTGCGGGTGTGCGTCATGCTCGCTTTGGGGCGGCAGGTGCACTGTGCTGGAGGCGCGATCATGCTTGGACAACGAAGACGAAGAAGAAGAAGAAGAAGAAGAAAAGGAGGATGAGGAAGAAGAAGAAGAGAAGGAGAAGGAGGAAGAAGATCCATCCGTCGACCGATCCGGATGATTAACGGCTGGACGCGAGGTCGCCAATCGATCCTCGAACCGATTCATGTCGGTGTCGTACCGATCCGAATCGGACCGAGGATCGTATGCCTCGACGACGAGAACAGCCGGTCTGCCGGGTAGTTCCGGCGCCTCCTGATGACGATGCCGATGGCCATGGCGATGGCGGTGTTGTTCGCCGGGCTCCCGTATGTCGTACGTGCTCTCGGGGTCGTAGTACGGCGGGGTGCGCGCGGTCCCGGGGAACAGAAAATAGGGGTACATACTGGTCGGCGGCAACCAGATCTCCTGGTAGTTCTCCTGCTGCGGGTCGAACGGGTACAGGGCTGAGTCCGTGCCCGACAGGTCTACGGAGGTGGAGGAGGGCAGGAACTCTGTAACACAGAAGCAGAGCCGCGGACGAGAATGGGGTGAGTGAGGGTGCGCGTTCGCCATTGGTACGCAACGTGCGGGTCTGCGTGCTGTTGTTGTAGGGTCGAGTGTCGTGACGGTGGCGGTGATGGTGATGATGGTAGTGGTGGTGGTAGTGGTGGTGGTAGTGGTGGTGGTAGTGGTGGTAGTAGTGGTGGTAGTGATGGTGCAAGGGTATAACGGACGTTGACAGAGGATCGCCGTGGAAGGGAGATCCCGAGCTGATCGCGAGGGCTTGATGTGCCGGTTTGTGCCTGCTGGGGATAAATCATCGCGTCGGTCGATCATCGTGGATAAGGATAATTGTGGAAAGACTATTTGTCCGGGGAAATTATGGAGAGGCGCGTCGCGGTCTCGTGTAACTTCCCGTGCCGCAAGATAAGCTTAGGAAATTCGCAGAGATCAGAGTCTTCTTTACTTCAGAAGACAAATGGGTTGGAGGTTTGAATTAATATTGGACGCTCGACATCGAGTATTTAATTCCGTTTATAATTAACTAGTGCGTCGCATTTTGAAGGCATTAGATTGACTTGTTGATATTTTTAGTAGAAAGAAACTGCACAAAAGATCTCGCAAAGAGAGAAAGGAGGACGATAAGGCCTGGGGTCATCATGTTGTTTTATATTTGGTTTGCAAACCTGAATATATCAGTTGTATGAGATACATTTACGCATGGAACAGTGTACGAAAAATGACGATAATAGGAGAGAAGACACACATATCCGAGTAAATTGGATTACGTTGCACAGAAAATAACTGACGAACAATGCTTTGTTGCACGCAAGCATCATCCACAGCTCTTGAAATAAATATCAAACAGGAATGTATTTGCAACGGGTGCTCGAAGCGCTCGTAAATAGGTAGTTAAATTAACTAGCGATTGCCGGATCTTTTCAACTGCCCATTGAAAAATTTCACACTTCATCGCGACGCACTTTCAACGTTCGCGCTTTTGATATCTTGATCGGCATTCGTTTCAAGCGCGCTCTCGTCCGCAATGGCGCGCTCATAATAAGCTACAAAATCGATTTGTCATTCCTGGTGAGGATAAAAACTCTCTATTGCCAGGTATGTTAAATACGAGGAATGTACAACATGTACGAGAAGAGGTAACAAATTATAGGAGAGACCAGTTGGACCACAAGGGTCATGTTGGCATTTGCTTTGTTTAGGCATTTGCTTTGTATTTGAGAGAAACAGTGGAAACGAAATCGCAAAATGTTCCTTTGAGATACTTTTCCCTTTTTATTAGAATTCTCTCTTGATTAGTTTCATTAGAATTATTAGAATTCATTAAAATGATATTACAGTTAAGAAGAAGAGTTAGAAGAAGCTGATTTAAAAGTTGCCAAATAGCGTCTCGACACATTTTGTGTTAATATTCTCCATCGTGAATAAATAAACTTAAGTTATCAATTAGAATAAAGTTTTCTGCAAATACATGATATACTTTGCTTCGGGCAATGAAATAAATTTTCCTTCATAAAATTAAAAACAGATGTAGACAGACGAGTTGACCAATATTTAAAAACCAGCAGGTGACTGTGAAGGGGTTGTGGAGAACTCTAGTAGAAAATCCAAATTAAATCAGAAGATTAGAAACTAAGTCAAGATATGTATTTTATATGTGGCCTTCTTATGCAGGATTCACACTGTGTTTGACATTTGATATTTGACATATGATGTTCCGATATTCACATAGAGGAAATGAGATTTCTATGAACTTTTAATAAATTTTATTCAATTAAAAGAAATTAATCTATATTGGAATAGTTCATGCAACTCAATTTTTGACTCAAAAAATATAACTGTTTGGCTAATCAAGTAATTTGATTGTTTGATCGTTTATTTTTTGGTTTAAAGAACAAAACTTCTTTCCTTAATTTTCTCATTTTATTAAAAAGACAATTATGTTTAAATAATCTCAAGAAACTTGACATTTATTTTTTTACATAATTGACGGTCTATCCTTTTTATGCAACTCTACCGTGTACAGCTCTCCTTCCTCGTGATTTCTAGAAATTAAATTTTATTTTGTTTAAATAATAACCCCAGACAACATAATGTCTAAAATCGGGACATAAGATGTCTTAAAGATAATCTTTAAAACGCTTTAAAAATATTTATATGTAAATCGTTTGAAAGACATCTTAAAGATGATCTTTAAGACGTTTTATGTCCCGATTTTAGACATTATGTTGTCTGGAAGCGCTTTTTTCTATCAAACAACATGGTTTAATTTAATAGAGCAAATGATACTTGATACAAAATCATATGCAGTGTGAATCCTGGTTCATTAGGCAACTTACCCCAACATCAGGGCAAGATGGCCATATTGCAGCATGTTCATATTTCGATTATTACGAACAAAATATATGGTTTACAGGATTGTGAATAGCATAAAAATCTAGAGGTTGTCTATATCATATATGTATAGTCAATTACGATAATTAGTTGCGGGGAAAATGATAACTTCGAAATTTTGAAATTTGATCCAACTTGACCTGGTTTCTCTTACATTTTCTATAGCCGAGAATACTTTTTCAAGTGTTGAATCGCATTCGGCGAAGAGAAAGCCTCGTGCTTTTAAGATCCCGAGTCGAAAAATTGAACGAAAAATTCTCTAACGGAGCATATTTTCATCGCTTCACTTTTCACGTTCTCTCAGCATCACGGCCGTATGAAAGGCGCAATTAACCGGTCGTAAATTACTCAGGGCTCGTTATTAACAAGCCGCAAATATCGTTCTGCTCCTCCTGAATGTCCTCGTGGCGAGTCCCTCGGTATATTTCCTCGTTCTCCAAGAAGCACGACGATTCGAAATAAAAAGTCGGCTGAAGGCTAAACGAACCGGCCGGTAATCGAAATCGACGGACGACCTCGCGTCGCCTCTTCTCTTGAGAAGGTACTTTGGCCTCGGCTATGAGAACTTCGCGAAAGCTAAAACTCCCATTCAGAGCCGAGGGATCCCGGGCATCGGGCGCTGCGAGCGCGCGAGAAATTATCCCCGGAGCGATGCGGCGGGTGCCCATCGAGCGTGATTTCGTTCTTAAGAGATTTCGGGATTCTCGTGGGATCGTCGCGGGACACCGACCAAGAGGGTTAACCTTCTGTTCCGCGTCGATCGTTCGCGAACGAAATGGAGACCCGAATAAATTGCCCGCGCCGTGCGTGCCGTTTCTACCACGCTCCCGCTCCCACCCTCCTTCTTAATTGCGTATTTTCCTTTTGACTATCACGCATCTCGAATGTCGCGTCTTTTGCTCCAGTTTACGTCGCGATTCGGAGTAAAGGGAAATTCTCTGCCACGAGCTTGATGAATTCATTATACGACTGGGATTAAGGAACTATGGAGATATTATACGCGTGTATATCCTTCATGCAAATGCATCCGCCACTTATCGTCCTTAGTAAGAATTAAACGTGTGAGCGGAATTAAATACTCGAATCGATCCTTCATCTTCCACGCGTAAGGTAAAAGTATTGGTAATAAGTGATCTCGCGATCGAGCACTTCAGGTAAAATACAACGGTTATACCTTCGCGCTGTTATAATTTGATGAGATCAAATGTCTGCGGAGAATGGCAGAAGATCACAGATTGAAACAATGCATGTATTGCTTCATCAAATTATGACAATATAAAAATACAACTGTTTTATTTTACCTAAAAAATCCGAAATTACTTATTACATAACTCAATTCCCGAACACGTAGTTAATTCTGAACACATTCTTATTCCTTTGGTCTTCAAATATGAATATTTAAACTTCCAACGTGGAATATATATAAATCCATATATATTTTATTGCATTAAATGTTCAAATATTCGCTTTTAAATATCAAATTAATAAGAATGTTTGGGATTAGTACGTGTCCAGGCATTTGTACCTTAAACGTAACAGAATTTTTCACGAGATTCCACGTGGAATTCTCAACTGTTGAATGCTTTTACCGCAGAATATAGTATATGCTGAAACCGTATTAACGGCGGATTCGCGTTTTCGTCGGGAATTATATCGTCGGATTCACCTTAATCGCTCGAGTGATTGACTCGAGCAGTCGCAGCGGCATCGATAACGTCCCGATGCCGCCCAGTAAGTCGTTCAACGACGCTGAGGTGGTGAGGGACGAAGGGGAGAGTATAGTGAGTCGAGTACAGAGAGTAGACAAAGTCGTAGTAGGCGCTACATAACAGTAACAGGCTACACATTCGAGATAGAAAACAAGCCATAAGTACATGCATGCGGGTGCCGGCGATTCGCCGGTTCTTCGGTGTGATTTCTCGCAACATGCAAAAATACAAAGGCATGCGGTGCACGATTCTCGGCGCACTCCGCCACGCGGGATCATCCGGAGGGGGCTCGTCGCCGCCACCTTGGTCTCGCGCTTCATCCGTCAAGTGTTCGCGTTTCATATTTTACGGCGCGAGCAATCTCGGCCGATTGCGACGTCGATTCGTCGCGGCGGATTTACGACGGCAAAGGGAAATTGCGGGTGTCGATGTGAGCGAGGAGCGAGCGAATGAACGAACGAACGATCGAGTTCTGTCAGTCGTTTTGTCGCGATCCGCGAGAGATCGACAGGGAGAGCCCCGGATACGCCACGGGGGAATTTTGGACATGTCACAGCAGTCGCGTATTATCTTTTTCCTGATTCTAGTGCGAATAAATACGATTCATGGCAACGCAATCGATTGCAAAAGATATTCTTTTGACTAGAAATTTTGATACGCCTGATATTCTATAAAAACCTAACTGTAAAGGGTAAATGTAAAGTAATCATAAATATGATAACGGTGTGGTGAAAATTGAATAAGGAAGACTTTTGTAATGTTATAATGATTATAATAGGCCCAATTTAGATCCACATTAAGATCCTAATATATTAATTTTCCAACTAGAAATTTTAGTCAAGTACGCTTGATATTGTGCAAGAATTTAATTGGATAGATATAAGGTAATT